TTCATTCATTCCGGACCTCGGAAGCGCCCGTCCCCGCGACTACAGGCATGCACCACCATGCCCGGCTAATTTTTTCTATATATATTTTTAGTTGGCCAATTAATTTCTTTCTATTTATAGTAGAGACGGAGTCTCGCTCTTGCTCAGGCTGGTCTCGAACTCCTGACCTCGAGAGCGATCCTCCCTCCTCGGCATGCCTGTAGTCCCAGCTACTCGGGAGGCTGAGGCAGGAGGATCGCTTGAGCCCAGGAGTCTGAGGTTGCTGTGAGCGAGGCCGATGCCACGGCACTCACTCTAGCCTGGGCAACAGGGCGAGACTCTGTCTCAGAAAAATACGTAAATAAATAAACCAGAGGACTTCAGGGCCGGGCTACAGACGTCACTCTCCGTGCTCCACGCTGACAAAGGTGCCGAGACACAGTGGCCGCCCTGTGCCGTCACCGGGCATGTGCCGAGCGCCTGTCGGCTCCCGGTGACGGAGGGAGGTCAGGGGACGCGGGGAGTGGCCCATCAGTCCCGCGTGGACGCCGCCTCCCCCGGCGCGGGGCTGGGTCCGACCTCGCCGGCAGTTGGCAGTCTGCTCCCGGGGTGTCTCCAGGGCAGCCCTCGCCGCCCTGTCCCCTCGGGCACCTGGCGTGGCTCCGTCTGTGGGGACGGAGCGACCGTGGCTGCCGGGGACCTCGGAAGCGCCCGTCCCCGCGACGGTCAGCTCCCCGGCGAGCCGCGAGGGGAGGCGGCTGCCGCAGGTTCTGCCTGGGACGGAGCCGCGTCTCCACCAAGCCGGAGGGAGCCTGGGACCCGCGGCGGGCCGGCTGTCTGAAGAAGGCCACGCCCGTCTGCCACGGGACGCCCGCACACGGGAGAACGGCGGCGCCAGGCTGTGTCTATGGGCACGGGAGGAGGTTCACGGCGTCGTAAATCTCTAGAAGAATGCTGTTTATAAACCAGCGTACGCGGGAGGTGGCTCCTTTCTTTGTCAGAGACGTTCAGGGCAGCGGCTCTGGAAGGCGCTACCGTGACGATGCCCCGTCAGGGGGTGGGTGGCGGGGAGGGGTCCCCACGTCCACCCGCCCCGCCCCCGCCCCGGATCTGCTTGGGGTTTGCACCCACCTGCGTCGGTCCCTGGTTTGGTGACTTGGAGCAGGTTGGCCTCAGTTTCTGCGTCCCCACAATGGGCGCGGGGGCGGGCGCCGGCACTAGTCAAAAGGCCTCGATTCGTGTGAAGCTCTTGGAGAAGCGCCCGCAATAAACGCTGCCCGACGGCACCGCGTGCTTTCTCAGCGTACGCCGCCTTCGGACGAGGGAAAGGGGCGGCGCAGAGCGGAAGGCAGGGAGGCTCCCGTCGGCAGGTAACCCGCGTGTCCTTTCCCGCCCGCCAGGGGTCACGTTCTCCTTCTTCTGGAAGATGCAAGGGGAGCAGTCCAGACCGGTCCCTTCCGCGTACGGCGGGCAGGTCATTTCCGACGGCTTCAAGGTCGGCTCCAGCGGCGGCCGGGGCTCCGTGGAGCTGTACACGCGGGACAACTCCAAGACGTGGGAGGCCACCTTCAGCCCGCCCGGTGAGTGGCGGCCTCCGCCCCTGAGCGCGGCCCCCAGGGGCGAGTGTCCGCTCTGGGCGCCGTGCGTGCGTCCCGGGAGCCGCCTGTCCAGTCTCCCGCGGGCTGGTTGCCCGGGTCGCTTGTTTCCCCGCTGCGGGGTTGTGAGAGTCCTTCGTGTGTTCCGGGCAGCGGCCCCCTCGTCACACGGCTGTGGCAGTGTCTCCTCCCGGGCTGTGGCGTGGCTCCTTCTACTGACAGTGTCTGTCTTGGGCACAATGCTCAGCCGTAACGCAGCCGCGCTCACGGATTGCATCTTATTGTTTTTGTTATTATTGAGGAAGAGGTCTCGCTGTGTTGCCCGGGCTAGAGTGGTGCGTGGCGTCAGCCCGTCGCTCACAAAGCAAACCTCAACTCCTGGGCTTCAAGCATCCGCCGCCCAGGCGCCCCAGGAGCGGGAGACTACCAGGATGCGCCACACGCCGGACGGCTAAGTTTGCTATAAGTTAGTGGTGTCCAATTAATTTGTTTCCATGAAGAAACATACGGGTCTCGCTCGTTGCTCGAGGCTGGGTCTCGAAGCTCCTGACCTCGGAGTGATCCCGGCCCGCCCTCGGCCTGCCAGAGGGCTAGGATGCAGGCGTGAAACCACCGGGGGCGCGCCGGTTGTAGAAGTGCGACAATTCGTAACCATTAGTTCTAAAGTTCGAAATAGGATGCTGAGAGCCACAGAAGAGCTCGCTGGGAGTTTGGGGTCGTGCCGAGCACATAGATCACCGTGACAGCCGAGGCAAACGGCGCCAGCCTCCCCGGGCCGGTGACCAACAGGGACATGGCTCCCTTCATGTACCTTTTGTTTACGTTTTCTCTTCAGAGTTTTGCCTTTTTCCTCGTAGAGACCTGACACGGCCTTCTTCGTTAGATTTTCATTACGTTCCAGCTACTTTTCTCTTTCCTTTTTTTTTTTTTTTGGCAGCGCTGGGGCAAAGACGGATAAACTGCGTGTTTTAACTTTAAATTCCACTTGTTCGTTGCTGGTGCACAGAGAAGTGGTTGACTTTCGTATACTGATCCCGAGTCTGGCAATCTGGCTGCAATCGTTTGTTAGTTGGAAGAGGTTTTTTGTCGTCGTTGATTCTTTTGTGTTTTCTACGTAGAAAATCATGCCATCTGTAAACAGAGATAGTTTTATTGCATCTTACGCAATCTATATACTTTTTGTTAGTATTTTATTATTATTATTTTTTGCCCTGTTGCGTTAGTTGGTACAACATTGGATCGAGGGACCTTCTTGCCTTGTTCCTGACCACACGGGTTTTTCCTACTGGGCTCCTGTCTGCTTGGTTGGTGCTTGCATCCTGACCGTTTTCAAATATTTTATCACCTTTGCTTTCTTTTTTTCTTCCTTCCTTTCTTGGATTTGTTTTCTGTTTTATTTTTCTGGAGGGCGGAGGGACCCTTTGTCCTGGCCAGCGACTTTCGCCTCAGCCCTGCCTCACTCCCCTGCTTTCTCGCGATAAGGACCACTCGACGGCTCAGGGAGGTGACACCTGCCCCTGGGGACCTTGTCACCTCTGAGCTGCCTAGTTTCTGGCAGCTGGTCACCCACCAGCTTCCGTCTTGGACTCAATTGCTCGGTCACCCTGTAGCCTCATCTCCCTCCTTTCTGTAGGGTAGAAACTTCCCCAGGGGCCGGTTTGTGCCACCCGGCTCAGGGCTTGATGAGGAACAAGGCTTGTCTAGTTTTTTGTTTTCTGCCAGAGCACAGAGTCTCGCTGTGTTGCCTGGGGCTACGAGTGAGTGCCGTGGCGTCAGCCTCGCTCACATCCAACATCAA